TGATTGATATGTATGTAGTCTCAATAATAGTTGAGTCGCAAATTTCCCCGGGACAGTATCGCGAATGTGTCACCGCTGCTCCTAGTGTTCGGTGGTTGCTTTGCTCTCATAATATCTTGCATCTTCGGGAACACTGTGTTCAAGGATGACCATGGCTGCGCATTTCTTACAGATTTCCTCCAAGTTGTGCTTCGCCGTCACATGCTCACTCCATGGAATACCCGAGTAGATGCGGATGGAACATAATCCATTCCGGATGTGAGCTGTCCATAGCAGCACTGCCTCTGCTTTATCGGCAGAAAGGAAGGCAATACGGAGAAAGTTGGTTTCTTCGTAGTGCTGTGAGCTTGGGAGATGGATGACCCGCACCAATTTTGCGGGCTTATTTACGAAGCCTAGGATGTTACACATAAGCCTTCACCACATTTTTCGTCGAAATGCTTCCTTTTAAGGAATTTGATGCTAATTTTGGAACGTTGGAACATGTCACTGACGGCTACCTAGGCGGCCTATCACTGATATTTGCGCAGGTGGAGTAGATGCCGACCGTCTTGTTGGTCTGTGTACAGCCGTTGGTGGGTGTGTAAAACGAGTTTGCTTGGTTCATTTATTTTGGGACCACTTATACTAACTTCATGCTATAATTTCCGGATGCACCTGGTAGCAACCGCAGTCCAAACACTACTGGTTTCGAATCCCAATTCGAATTTCGAAACAGTTTGGAGATTGGAGGAGGCCGTGGCTGTATTATACCAATCGGACTGGTAGTGGTTGTTTTAGGTGCATTTGAGCCACAAAAGGTATGGACTCATTAAGTGGCTTTTAAATCAACCTGCGAAGCATTTTAACGAGTAGCCTGTCGTATTACTAAATTATGAAACAAAGCATATTGGGAAACACTGAAGACTACACGCTCTCACTTTTCCTTCAATAAATGGATTTTGTTTTTTCTCATTTGTTGAATCATTGCCACTAGTCTTTTGTATGTTTATTTTCGTTTATATACAAGCGATGACAGTGGGATGAACATGCATGCTGAACGGAACCAGAGAGCATCTGGTCTTCCATTGTCTACTTTCATTTGTTTTACAGTGGGCTTAAGGTAATTTGGATAAAACATGCGGAGGCAATTAGGACACATGACTTCTATTCGTATGTTTCTCTATTATGGAGGAAAACCCCATACTACTTTCAGGTTGGTCGCACTGGGCTCAGCTTCAATTAATTGATCTTAAAACCCATTGTATCGCTTACCTGTTAACCGATGTCTTTCAGGTCAATGACCAAGAGTTCGACTGAGTTACACGGTCGAGGTGCGAAGCATTAACTTGACTGTACTGTCAACGTCAACAATTTCGTAGCATGCCGCAATGCGTCACATGGCATTTGCAACAAGCTTTAGCGATTTTGTCATGCACTCAGCATTTGCTCTGAGGTATAAACATAGGAAATGTGTACTGGAAGACACAAAATGTCGGACAGCTGTAATTGCTTTCGCATCGTATAAATCTCGGAATTGGCTTCCGTTTGAAATCCTTAATGTTACGTTTTGTGCGGGATTTGGAGTATTGTGCACGTCCGTTCCTGCTGGATTAATACACAAACTGCGATATGAAGGTAAAATTTGATCCCCACAAGCTGGATCCAAAAGATGGGTGACAATAAATAGTGACGGTTAAGCTGTATGGAATAAGTGCAAGCACGAGTTTACGATGACAATTTTGAGGCTAAGTCTGGTCTGAGTACGAGGTCAGAAAGCAAGCGACAGCACGGTGTGTATTCATTAATTTCCTCCTCATTCGATGAAAATAGATGAGAGAGACTGGGTTGGACACCCTGTTATATCACATGTTTCAAGTGCTCCATCTAATGGCTCATCACATCATACTTCTTCTTGACTTCCTATATCTGAGGCCACTTCTGAAAAATCGCGCAAGAACAGCACTCGCTGGAACCGGTACAAATTTGTGGTAACGGACCCCAAACGGAAAGCTCGCCCGCTATTTTTCGGGTGACAAGTAATGAAATGTTGGAAAAAGTTGCTGGGCGCAATAGTCAAGGTAAAATCGGTTTCGTAATCAATGACTTCCCCAGGACCTTGACTTCTCGGACTACAGATTTCAAGAGCGCATCCCACCTGAATAGGTCACAGCGCTTTTGAACTGTGCAAACAATATGCGATAAGAAAATGACGTCATTGCGCATGCGTGTCCCTTATGATATCAATGGAGCAACACGAGGGTACTTATTTTGGCTCGCTTACCTAGGTATTCAATATCCGTTAAGCGATATATCATGCAAATGTTTAAAGCAAAACGCGCAGTAGGATGAATTAGGCCAGATATCAGTTATTGTTAATGCGTATAATGAATGGTTTTGCATATTAGATATATATATATATATATATATATATATATCACGGAAGCTTCGCTGCAAGCATGGAAACAAATGCTATCATTCGTTTTTTGAGCTTTAGTAGATTGTTAACTTGTACCGCAACCTTCTGCCATATAGATATTTTAATTTGTACCTTTATCAATAGGCACATTTTGGTTCATTTATTAACTTGAACAACATTGTGCCATTGCTCAGTTTAATTGAATTGCATCAAGCTATGCAACATCGTGTGCAAGCGGGTTCTTCGATTGACCTCGTGCAAGCTCTAGTCTCTCACCTCAAACTATGAATTCAAGGTGTTAAGTTCAGTATCATCTGGTTCATTGTTATTAATGAGCAAGTCCCTGATCGCCTTATGTCGCTATCGTGACTTGCGTTTCCAATAATTTGCGGTACGCTGTTGGCCTCTTAATGCGATGCGATCAAAGATGGATTCAAGCGTTAATCAAATAAGTGAGAAACAACTACTACTCAGGCTCACATCTGATGCTCTCAAATTAATTGGAGAAGAAGCACTGCAGTCGTCCTAATTAATTTACCGGTAGGTAGCCGGTAAATGACTGGATTGTGTGCGCATCCAAAAATAATTCAGCTGTCAGCCATTTAGGTTCAGTCGCAACGTTCCCGATTTGCTCAGGAGCTACTCACTTGGTTGCAGTTTCTCTGCTTGCAGGTGAAATGCATATTAGGCAGCTTGCAATATAATTTTGGAAGGTTCAAAAGAAGTGTATTAGTTAAACAAGATTTCTTCTATTTTACACTGGTTAACTTGTATTCTCGTCTTAGGTGCGATGTCCTGTTGTTGACACATAAAACAAGAAACGATTGCCCCAAAGTAAACGTGAAAGCTCGGTTGATGCTTCTTGAGTTCAACAAGATATTTAGTGTCGCCACTGCTTTTAACTACAAAGAAACTTGTACATCCTGACCTCTGCACAAGCTAAGTGTAACGACGACCGGTTCAATGATTTTCAATGAGCTGCACCATTTGATTTAACTTTATCGTAACTTAAGTCACATTTGCCATTCATCGTCCACCTTTCAATATAATTCCGTTTAGACACCCAACATTTAACAAATGACGACTAGAGCAAATTCAATATTTATTCCAAATGGGAAAACCAATGGTATGTTTACTTGGACGCGTTTATCTGTTATAACCTCATGCAACATTTTACTGTTGAGGAGTAGTAGGTAGGATTTTGGTATAATTCAACTAATTCATCATAGCCAAAATCCCCACTACTACCCCTCAGTAATATAAAAAGCTGTCCTTATAGCTATGCGGAAAGTCCTAGCTCGTGGGGTTGGCCATTGTCATCTGCACAGTTCGTAACTAGCACAGCAGTGGAAGATGAGCCGTGCTTTAGCATGGTCAGTTGTCAATCACGCAGGTCTCTGACTGTCCCCTGTGGCGAAGCGACGCTAGCTGCTGGCCTCCGGACGTCATGGGGCGGAACCCCGCAGGGGTCCTTTGGGAGGTGCACCACTGACGAGACCCAGAAGGTCGAAACGCTGGCGTCTGGTACTTTTCCAGACTAGTCTAAGCCTGCTGATTGGGAGTGACGATGATGATTTAGTTGAATAATTCAACAAATGGATCCGGTGCTGAGGTGAGCACTTGCTTAAGAGCCACTGACTCAGTTAGCTTGTTGTTTTACCTAGATGAATGCTTAGCAACTCTCTCCCATTCACCTATGACAAATAGCTGTGTATGTGTAAATAAGAAATAAGTTGCTCATAGTTGAACCGTTTAAAAGACCATAACTCCGTGTCAAACGTGTTGGTAGGTTTTGCCTCATCAGGAGAAAAAAGACGACCAAGCAAGCCCGTATAATGTTGCGGCCCAACGAAATCTAGAACTTGACAAGTATCGGTTGAACGCCAGCAATTATCTTTCACTAGATAGGTACACAATCAAGTCTGCGAATGGGGATGAAATCGCCATTTTTGTGGCATAAGCTGACAGCATCCAACCAAATTTAATTGGTCAAACCACTACTGATGAATCTCGAAAGAATTGAGTGGCCAAGTGGCGTTTCTAAAAAGGTTAATTAAATTTTAGTATGTCTACGGAATCCTATTTCTATACAGTGGAACTGTATCACTAGTATTATGATGGAAAACGTTGGCAGCTTAGTTTTGGAATGTTGTTGCTGTAGGAGGCGACCACCACTGGACCTTGAACGTCGTTAGGTGCAGCAACTTTCCTTTAGCTGCCTTTTCCTCCGAGTGGTTGTGTGTCAAATTACTTGCATGCGCAGTTTGGTCAACATCTTTCAACTTCCCATCGCGACTAGGAAATAGACATTTGGGGGGGGACTTTAAAGTGCGAAACCACTGTTTAAATTTCACCAGACATCTATATCCTTCTGAACCATTGTACTTGGAATGAATTCTATCTCGTCATCTACAAGGTTTCTCAGTGTACCTATGCCCTGTTGCGGCGTAATTTATGATCAGATTTTTATCATTGATTAGCTGGATTCAGGTCTGCAATGAATCACCGCTAGCGGTGCTACAACAAAAATGTAGCTTTATTCCAAATCACATTCACCGTACAATGCTCCGCAAGAATCCGGGTGCCTCCCTGTTTGGATGCGGCCAAACTGTATTCGAAAAAGACAACGAAAATTATCATGCAACCTAAGCTGGTAACCAGTTTTAAGCAGAGCAAAGGGTTTTTTAATAGGATCAATATGCATTAGATCATAAAGAGTCGTATGGAGTAACCAGTGCAAAAGTTTTGCTCAACACGTGATCAGCCACGAAACTGATCGACTATCTGTTGAAATCCACTTGATGCCTGACGTAACTGGGCACCCACAACCTCACACAAGCGAAGGAGTAGCTGAAAAAGGCGTGAGTTTAAACCTTGTAATTTTGAGTCTGTCAGACTTGCCTCAGAAGAGTGAGTTACAACCCAAGTGGCACCCATGGTCTTCTTATCTGCATCTTCATCCCCATCGATGGGTTTGGATGTGGTTTGAACTCGGTAATAGGCTGATGTTCCTCTACTTAACGGAGTAGTCAAGTAGGATTGCCGTCTGTAGGTTGTCTGGCCGCGGCTTCCCCGTTGGTGACCAGGTACTACTGATGGAAATACCGTGGTTACGAATGCTGGAACAGTTGTGGTAAACGGTACTGTTGTGAACCACTGCTTCCATGCTTCCGTCATAGGACGAATAGATCGATCGGTCGAAGTTAGTTGTCGCGTTGACGCAGTTGTTACTGGGATAAAGTTGCGCGCAGATGTGGACGACCTTTGTTTGAAAGTGCCGGACAAATATTCATCAAAATCATCCTCGAAATCATCGAGTGTCCGTCTTGTTTGAGTGCAATTGAGTTGCAAACCGAGCAGTAAAAACAGCGATAACCACTTCAGCAAACACGTCATCTTGTCGTAGTGAACTTGCACGTGGATTGAGTAATTTGGTACACCGTTTTGTTTGGCACGTAGTAAGGAGAACATGTGTGCGACCCACTTGGATGTGACCAATTGCTGTCGTAGTCATGGTTATACCATTCCAGCCAATCCGTCGGAGGTTACGCGGAGTGTGGTTGTGCGAAGCGAAAATGGCCGGTCTTGATGTATGCCTATGGAAGATGCATGCTAATAAACGGACCAAGGTGTGCGGTGTTTCCACAGCAGTGCGAACTCGATATTCTTTCTACGTTTCTTACGTCAAACGATGGTTGGTGTTTCGTCCATACCCGTTTACAGTTATCCGATGTAGTTATTTAGCGAAATTACGCTTTTGACGCATAAACCTCCTCAGGTTACAAAACAGAAACGTTTCCAAACAAATAAACCAATTTGTTGTTCAGAAATCTCACTAAAACCATGGCTTTCGCTCGGATTTAGGCATATCCACATGGCTCGGATACAAAAATGTTGCGTTCCCCCATTACAAAGCAGAAAAGACAAGCTAAAATGAAAGAAACTTTGGTGATTTTGCAGCTCGTGTTGTCCGCTTGAATCAGGGTGCATTAGCAGCTTGGACACAACCTCGGTTCACCAAGGGAGGTATTTTATTAGATAACACTGAGCAAGTGCATGGCCGCGATTCTGTTTGGCGTGCTAAGCGAACGATAACAACAAAAGTCATTGACAGACAACGATTAAAAGGAAGTCCATGGATTAATTTAACAATGAAGCCACAATTAAAAACTTGGTTCAGCTAGTCACTATCTTAGTAATGATGGCAGCGACGGTATTTCTTCAGTAGTGAGTAAGTACAATAGAATTAGACGTTTAGGATGCTATTAGGATTGCACTCGCACGTGAGGCGAGATTGAGCAAAGCTCTCCCAGCAGCTTTTCGCTTTATGTTTAGTTAGCCCGATGTACTTGTATGCGTGGACACAAGTCATATATTTTCCAAGTGAAGAGCCTGGTGTAACAGGTAGAACAATTTGGCTCATCATTTTAAGACATAAGCGCACATCGAATCTGGGTGAAATTGCAACCATTCTACTTCGATTGCTCGTTAGAGCAAAGGAGTACATTTCAGAAAATAGTTGAAAGTTACGAAAATTAAAAACGGAACTTGGGGGTGCTCAACGACCTTACGCTAAGTTTCCTCTAATCAAGTTTGATGGCTTTCGCCTAAGAAATCAGCAACTTGTTTCTGAGTACTTTATTCAGGAATGAAGATCCTCACTTCGGAGCTGGCCTCGGTTGGAGCGTCACGACTCCCTGGTTGGGGTCCGAAAGACGATGAACACGTTTGGCTAGATACACCTGTTGACCTGGCAAGGAGTCGACCTCATTGGCTTTCTTGTTGTGAGTTTCTTTGTTCTTCCCCATCTCTTTTATCCTCCCCCTCCAACCACGACCTCATTTCGTGGCGTAATATAATTTTCCCTAATAATTTTTCGTTTTGCCAACTAGCCGGCTGGTAGCTTACCGGAACGATGCCTATCCGTTGCTGCTAGCTCAGCTGGCATGCACCAGTTGTATTTATTTTCCTTTTCCTTTACGTATTGCGGCCCAATAGCTGAGGTGTTCCCCACCTCTAGCTAAAGTGTATAATGTTGCTGAGATTATTCAATAGTTAGCTGTTTATGAGCCAGCTTTTATCGTCCGAAGATCTCGCTGTGTGCTGAATTCATGCTACTATTTACCTACTGATCAGGTTGAAACAAGTACGAAAATGAGGGTAGCAAATATCGCTTCTTGGTTGATTTGATATGGCTTGAACGGCGAAATAAAATGGTAGCTTAAATTAAATTCTACGTCAAAAGCTAATAAGTCCAGGTTTTTGAGGAGGCGGGGAATTTTAGTCTTTAAACCCGTAAAATGAAATCACCACAGCTGTGTGCAATCGAACATCTCTTGGGTTTGGCAACGCAGTGGAAAGCAGTTGCTTTGCCAAAGCTAGAATCAGTTCGTGTTGGAAATTGGGTCTTGCTCTCCGAAACACTATGCACACCACGACGATTTCCATCTCATTTGGTCGCATCAGATGAGATTGCACGTCGCAGCCCAATCACACAAGGCATGCGCACTAATTAAGCTATCGGGTTATTTCGTTTCATTGTTTGTCGCCAATCCACTGATCAGATTATGCGCACGGATGCTGATAACTGTAGTAGTTACGAATTGAATCAAATTACAATTACATGCAAAGTGCCCAACTCGTTATATCCCCTGACAACGTGCCCACAATGGGATGGATTGCTCGTACATGTGCACTAGGCTCACGGATGCACGGCTGGCAGTGGTTGAGGTTTTCGTATGCATGCAACAGAGATGTTTGTGCAAATAACTTCTTTGGGTCTTGCATTTCATGTTCTACCAGTTCACCGACACTTTGTTGTATTGTTCCGTTGCATATCGTGTGAACTCAGATAGCGGCGAGGTTCATGAAAATGGATGGAACAACTGGAGCCATCAACCGAAATTAGACGAGTTATACACAGCCATGTATAGTGGACTGAATTAGTGGGGTGCAAGTCATTTCTGATTACCAAATCCCTCTACTTGATATTATGGTAATCTGATGATAGAAGAACGCAAACGCTAGACTTGGTACCTTAACATGGCATTTGACGTGTCAATAAAGCTTCAGTTTCGTTATCCGAGTAATGTGAGGTATAAGTACACAGGGGTGAGTGGGGGTAGGAGCAGGTGTCCACATATTGCTAAAACTCGACCGCAAGAGCATTTGATCTAATAAGTTGTGCTTTGTTGTCCGTGATTTCTGGACGTTTGGTTGGGTATAGTGGCTTACCTTTCCGTATTCACTTTCAGGAGAACAATTATGGCATGTAAGTCCGTGTAATATAAAGCATGATGCTGAAAATAGAGGGAGAAAGCTATTTGTTTTACTTCTTATAACAGAACGAACTTGAGAGGGATAAATTGTCATGTTGGCATGGCTTGGTTTAGTATTAAATGTGTTAGAGTTTCAGGGTGAGGTAGCATTATAAGATGGTCAGTTTGGAGTTTTTGTAGTGTGGATGGATTATGACTTGCAATCCCAATGTGGACCTTGGCAAGTACGATCACCGAGATCGTGGTTGATGGAGCAGATATATATTGGGATTTGCTAGCCTGAACATATTGCATATAGAATGTTTACGGTTTACATTTGATTCTAGCCTTAACCGGTAGGTGCAGCTGCTAGGTTGACATTGCCAAGTAGCTAAATGTGAGAAAAAACTGTTTCGTTTAAAATTAACTTTCAGAATACACGTGAAACCGAAATTTGGCATGTCCAAACAAACGTTTGAAGATATATGGAATATGTCAGATGTAATAGGTACACGGTTTGGAGGGTTTCGTGTAGCTCTCCCATTTCTGCAGTTTACAAAGCGTTTTGTCTTGGTTTGAAGTCATGACAAGAGCCGCTAAACACTAATTCTCGAGCTACATCCTCCAGCTCTACTTATCCTATGAGTCCAAACAAGGACGGATCTGCCGTTCGTAGAGTGGCGCGCCATGGATCAGCACCGAAGCCCTCCTCTTTACAAGCCCAAAACATTCCGTTTTTCAGCGTTGCATTTATCAGTAACTTATCCAGCGTCAAAATGAAACGAAACACTGCTACTATAGCAAGTTTTCTGGTCACCCTGCAGTCAAGAAGACGTAAATAATAATAATAGGTGTGTTTCTCATCGAGTGAGTTAATGTGGCCACATCTGGCACAGATCTTATGGTACAACATATGTCATGTTCATGCGTGAATGGTAAACAGATGCATGGTTTTCAAAGCTTTTGCTATTTCAATGTTTTTTATTAACTCACAGGTGTGCTTCAACACAATGAGGACTAGTTGGAATAGTGTAGTAACAGCACTAGGTGTATCACACAGTATGAAATTATGTCTTCGTTTCGCTCCTTAGATGTGGTCTGGCTCATCTTTGTACAATTCATCAAGTGATCTCTCTCAAGAGAACAGGGTTATAATCGTGTTTATTGGCAACCTTAACGAGATAGGCCAATACGCTCTCACATGATCTGCCCGTGACTGGGAGCTTATTCCACAATACAGCATATCTGACAAGGAAAATGTTGGACCGTAGATTTACCGTGCACCTGGGTAAACTCCTTATTGTGTAGCTCCATTGTCGAACTATGTCGTAGTTCAAGGGAGGGTAAATAACAGTGGGAATTTTGATGAATCATGTTGTACAGAAGCATTAGGTTATATCACAATCTTCGTAGTCAAAGCGGATCAAACTGCAATTGATGGCAGCGCTCCCGACAGTTATTGGTTGATGTTTTATCTAGCAGACATTTAGTAGATGATGTTAATATACTCTCCAGAGATCATATGCCAGATTTCCTCATGCTGCCACAATTGATTCTGCAGTATTCCAAAGTGGAGCGAGTTAGAAATTTGAAGAGATCTACTCTGGCTGGAGTCATGTGAATCTTATGTAGTATATTAGCCATTGATTTTCTGGCCATAGACAGCTGGTTTTCCAGTTGTTCAGAAAAGTTATAGGTGTAAGAATATCTGAGTCCGAGGTCGCGGGTAGACAGCTGTACCCCAAGGTTTTCGCCGTTGAGTGTACTTGATCCCTTGGGCATCGAGCAGCCGCGACACATGATGCAAGATTTTTTTAAAGCACATCATGCAGGTGTCGCATCATTTTTGAGGGGGTTGGAGGTACTCCTTTATGAACAACAATATATCTCGTCGGAAATTGTAGACTATTTTTATGTTATCTGCGAACGAGACAGACATGCCATATCTAATAATCACACAGATATCATTTAGACTTAGAGCAAGAACAGTAACCGTGCGAGTACAATCATTTGACTAACACCACTAGTAATTGGACTTGGTGAAGAGTGATGGTCGGATATGGTAAGTACCCGAGAACGGCCGTTCAGGTATGACAATAGCCAGCCTAGGAGTGGATCCTGAATTCCAAAGGATGCAATCATTTTCAGCAGCCGTTTGTGGGACAATGACTCGAATGTCTTTTCCATCTCATGGGTCAACAGAAACAGA